ATTAGGCTATTTGGTAATATATTCCAATACAAATTCATAAGAAGTATGTACTGTAATAGTCGTTATATGTGTATACAAATATGAATTTGATAATGCTGCAAAAGTAATGAGAAATAATAAAAAGTCTATAAAAATGCTCTCATTTAAAAAAAGAGAATACGTATGTTATTTGTTTTCTCTTTAGCACTATGTTCTTACATTTGTCTACAATTGCTCTTTCGGGATATTAGTATATGACTTTTGCAACCATCACTTGACCATTGAAATCCTGCAAACAATAAAGAGCCTGGTCAGACTGCAGGAAAGTGCAGGCTGATCAGGCTCTAAACTGTCGGCTAAAGCTAATTGCATCCGCTTTATCTTAATAAAGCGACTCTCCCATCTTGTTGGTTGATTCACGACTTGACATTCTAAAGAAGATGACAACAATTATGTCTATTAATTCGTTGTAGTTATAATTACAGTGCATTCTGTATATTCTTTCAGTATTCAATAGTATGTTTATCTTTTGAAAATATTAACGACATCTATTAAATGATAATAAACATACAGTTAATGTCCAAAAGAACTAACTACATTTCAGACATTTTGTTTTTCGGACAAAATCAGTCTGTGAGCAGTTTGACTTCCTGTCAAATTGTAAACTTTACAGGAAAGGAATTAATACAAGTATGCTTTTTATTGGTCATTGTAAAATAACAAATTGAAAGTCAAGGAATCTTATTGGCCATTCTAACACTTACCGAAACACGACAGTTTCAAAAAGAAACATATATATGTTGTGTTTCATAGATCTAGAAATTAAATGCTATGACTAAACTCCGACATACACTACGAGACACTTCTTGTTTAAACTGAACTTCATCGTACTTGCATCAATTACATTTTTTTTCTGTTTCAAGAGACAACGTCTGTTTGCTACACGAAACACGACATTTGCAATAAATAACGACATTCTTGCTATAATGCTAGTTTCATCTCATACCAGTGTATCATATAAATATAATCCAATAAGGAAAAAAAGCATTAAAAGGCTTAAAAATATTTGTATTTATGAATTTTTGCAATCCATAAACCTTAAATCAACCTTAAAGTTCAAAACTGAAATGATATACATACAAGAAAAGACCTCAGTGTACATAAAAGATAGAAATAAAATGAAAATATATCTTTTGTAAAAAAAATGTAAAGAAACACAATAAACTATACCACTACAAAAACATAAATATTTGGTAAGAAAAAAAAACAACCGCAAAAGATAATTATAAATAAATTAATAAATAATAAAAAAGAAAAAAAAACATAAAAGAGAAATCTGTCTATAAAAATGAAACGTAACTGTATTGGTCTTTACATGATAAAAGAGAAGAAAAAAACAGAAAAGAGAAACGTGTCTATAAAAATGAAACGTAACTGTACTTATGAGTTTAATGGTCTTTTCGCGAATAACAACATTTCTTGACTTTGTGTATTCTTTGATTATTTTCTAAAGATCTTCCCCTTTTCAATAGAATTCAGTATTTAATGGCTTATGAAGCTATCATATAGCATATATATCATAAATCACATTTGAAGATTCACCCACATGAACAATAGTGATATTAGATGATCAACTACTGGAAACTGTAAGGAACGAATAGGCTTTTGTAGGTATGGACTTTTGTATTATCTGAAAAAATAATGTTATTTATTTATAGATATTTATCTATGGACTGCTGATAGAAAATTAATATTTCTAAATAGTCGTAGTATTTTTTTCTTTGTTTTTGAATCGCAAAAAAATCAAGTACAAAATTGAATATTTTTTTCTTGTCTTGCCTCTCTATAATAATTGAGATTTCAGTAAATTCATTACAATTTAATTAACAATATTATTTTAATTCTTATTAACGGCTAGACAATGTGATATTGCTACATGCTGAACGTAAAAAGTGTTTGCTTTAAAAGTGACGGTAAAGAATTGTGGATCTATTTGCTAATTAATTGCTTTGAAAATGCAAAATGCGAATGAACGTAACCAATTTAGAAAACAATGATTGAGGTGCAATACCAATGTTAGATGCAAAACTTTATTTTTCACTGACGAAATTATTACAAGTTAAACTGAACTGTAAAATGGACATCATCTCTTATAAAAATATCTAAATGCACAGGGATGGATGTTTAAAATCGAATTAATCAAAAACATCTTAGATGCGTCTAGGGCTATTCAAATATCATTTGAATTATAAACATTTTATCGTTAGGGTTTAAAATAGCATCTGATTCATTATTTTAATATCATACATCGGGGGAATATATTTTTTTTGCAATGAAATTGAAATTATCAAGGATACAAAACTAAAAGTATCAAAGATCATCTATATTTTATATTAGTTGTAAATAAAAAGAAAAGAATTATTCAAGAACTAAGATATAACTAGATACAGAATTTAAAGTAAGTCAGAATTTCACTTATAAGATTAAAAAAAATAACATTAAAGAAAACAGGGAGGAAATCAGAATTGAAATAAGTACATGATAAATATTTATTGGTTGTTTGACTTTGTTTTCAATACTCAAGAGGTATCTCCGCGCTCAAGAATTTCCATATAACAGCCTTGTTGTTTTATGATTCTTTGAATTTCTATTTCTTAGTACACTTTGATTAAAGTTCGTTTTTTTATAGAGAAGCAGATATATTTTTATCATGATTTTAATTTGTTTAAGCGCAAAATACCTTGACAGGTCATGTACAGTAAATGCGTAATCAATGGTTGTTTGTAGCAATAGAAAATCAACCAATCAACTAATTTTTATGATTAAATGCAAAAGCAATCACTGTATATTTATTAAATATGCTACCATTCTGACTGAATATACACGTTCACCCAACTAATTTGACTCATTCGCTTTAACTCAGGATGAGCGTTAGAAACGTGACACGTCGTGCATAAATTGGGATATTTAATATGCCGTGTTTTTGTATTTGAACGCAGAAAATATTATCTTTTAGGAATAAACGAGTGGTCACGTAAAACTTTATCTATTAAGCATACTTCAATAAGCATTCTGTTTATTTAAACGTTTTGTTGATGGTTAAGAATAAATTTTGTGTATAAATATTGAATCTTCGATACTTTTTATTTGCGCGGTGGAATTTATGGTTAATGTGAAAAAAATATTATTTAACGGATTCTACATTGAAAATACGGTTTAAGTAAGTTTTAAATAATGATAATAAAACAAATTAACTTGAAAATTAAACTGAAACTGTTATTAAGAGTTAATATAATTAGCTGTTTAATTGATGTAATGATGTATATTTTGATTAATTTATGTAATAATTAAGATGCTATGGATTTAACGAACTTTTCACTAGTAAAGTTTTTAAAAAAAAAGTTTTCATTAAATCAAATGATATGACCTTTTATCAGCAATCAATTGTTCTTATGGGATTTTAAAGTTGTTAGTTTAAGTTGATGCAATATTTGAATTGCAAAAATATTAATTGTGTACCCAAATAATTCATTTAAAATTGTTACAGTAAAACTGTTTTATTATTAATATTTTGATGAATAAACAACGAAATTAATTTATACGTTTGTTACTACCTTAAGTCGTACCAATAATTTGACTATATCTTGTAAAAAGGACAAATGTTTTTGTCGGCATTACGTTCAAACTACGTATTATATATAAAAAAAGTATATATCATGCTGTATAAATAGATCATTTAAAGGTCGGTCAGCCGATTCCATTGATAGATAATGTAATAAATCTCTATTTATACTTGCCTACTTAAAATATTTTTCGAAAAAAAATGCGTACAATCATGAATTCAAGTCTGAGGCTAATTAAAAACTAAAAAAAAATATATCACACTTATGGAAAATTACTCCTACGAGATCTTTTTTACAAACAACGCATTGATTCCAATTTTTACCTTATTGATTAGTGTTTGGTTTGGAATAATTTATTGTGTCTCTGAATAGGATAATACCTGTAGTTTATGGTAACGCATAAAACCATTTCATATAAATATTCATGATAAGACCAATAATTCTAGTTTACATAAGTTATATTTAGGTGTTCGGAGTCTTCGTCTGTAAATTCGTCATATTTGGATTTAATTTAACTAGCTTTCGATTAAAGTAAGTGATACCTTTTTTAAATGAATTTGTCTAGGTTATGTATTTTTCACTTGAATATATACATGTATTATATAAAAATGTTAAGAATATTCAACCAAAGCTTAAACAGATTAACTGCTTTGGATGCACATGGAAATATACTGAAGATTATCCTTATGAAATTTACTGTTTAATAATTATGTAAATATTATTCAAATCATTTATATTTTAAATTATCTATCTAAAGTATTATCATTTGTGAAATAAAAGACCAACATTTTTTAAAATTAAAGAAGAAAAAATAAAAATTGTATTATTTAAATTTAACAAAATTGAACTTTATCAAAAACAAAATATACAATGTAAATATAAAGAGTGACATCCGTTACGATCACATCCGAACATATAGGACTACCTGAAATGCTCCCAGCAGGGCACCTTACAGATACAGTGTAAACGTTCGAAAAAGGAAGAAAGAACGAAGCATAGAGGGTGCCAGTAGATTAATAATTGCAAGTATAATAGCGTTAGACAAGCCTTGCGATTTGACTTAATGAAAGATAAAATTGAGGCCTTAAAAGATTCAATTAAAAAGGGCCGACAGGTAATTATGGGGAGAAGTGAAGAAAGGAGAGACGGGGAGTTGGGAGGAGAGGTAAAAATGAATGAAAAAAGGCTTCTGCTACATTTTATTACTACTAGTCAAAAATCTGAAAACAAAGTGATCCCTCGGAAGCATTAATCACAACAATTACATGAAAATTGCAGATTCGGTTTGATTGAGTCTGTACATGAGGGATAATGAGTAAGTGCTTTACGCCCCTTAGCACCGTCTCGTCAAAATGTCTTAATACCTAACTAAAAATCATTATTTTTCTTTTATTTCAGGTTTTATCTCTCACAATGTTTACAACAGGTTTACGCTGCCAACTATTATTAATATTAATATGCTCTCATATTTGCTCAACGCTTTTCTACACAAACAGTCGTGAAAATGACTATCCCAGAATTGGTAAACGACTTGAAATGTTTGAAGTGTTAAAAGGAAAGTACTCGTCTCCAAAATATAAAGAAACTTATAAAACAACAAGTCCGGACAATGAAGAACTAAATGCTTTTGATAGTGATGAACAGTCTTGGAACCTAGGTAAACATGATCAAAAATTATATGGAAAGTCAAAACTGGAAAGACAATTAGACGAAAGCCGGCCGATATTAATAGCAGTACAGCATAAATCCGAAAAACAACGTAAGTTTTTTTAATAAATTATAATTAACTTTTATTAAACTTGGTTATTTGAGATAAAATAAAAAGAAATAGAATCCCGTTAAGAAAGTCCAAAACGGCAACATTGAAATGTTCAAGGCTCGGTTTGTTTGAGCCTGTATAAACCTATAATGTTTTTAAATCGAATTTAATTGATTAATTTGGAGGAAACAGAATGAATGCTCATATATAGTTTAGATGGAATTTACACTTAGGTGTCCTCATTGAATGTTGTTTTGGTATAAACAGAAACTGTGTAAAATTTGTAGTTGACACATGGATGGGTTTGCTCTCATTTCAAAGCCAGTGTAATATAACACGCCTTTTTTCTATATTTTCATCAGGCAAACCTGGATCAATTGTTCACATAAGATTCGCTTATTAATGAAAACATTTTAATTGATTTGTAGTAAATCGGACTATGTTTATTGAATTCTATGCTAAAATTATCGCCACGAGATTAAAAAAGTGAATTTTCCCGTATTAAGGCTTTGATATTAAAACGATATTCAAACGGGGATCTGAGTTGAACCACCGACGTCCCGTTTGGTAGTAGCTAGATTGCTTCCTTAAGTAAAAAAATCCAAAGTCCCGGGCAGGATGCGAACCACCAGAGGTCTGAGTCAAGTGCTTTGACGTCAATTTTTAAAGTTGAGGGACTAAATAACTAAGAAACGTCAATTCATTTAAACAAAAAACAACACCCCCCCCCCCAAAGTTACAAGACACATATCATTTGAATTCATTTGTCATAAATTATATATATAGAATAGAATATACTGAATATAATTACATAGAATAGTATATACTTAAATGCAATGTACATTTATTTCTTTTATTTCTTATAATATAGGTGATCCTACTGAAGCAGATGACATTGATGGATATTTAGAGCTGTTTCATCGGATAAATCCGGAGTTTGACAACATATATTGAATAGGCATACTCCTGCTTGTATGCCTTCATAGACTTACTTCATTTTAAAAAGAAACATGTCAGTATATACTGTATGAAAACATTAATCATTAACAATACAGTGATACAGTAAATTAAAAACAACAATCAAAATTAATAAACAGAAATAAACAAAAAGGAATAAACATTTCATTGGATTCTGAGCAAATGGTTACAAATGTTTTGTTAAAAGAACAGCGTTCTTGTATTGCAATATTTTAATAAACACAGTCTTAACACCAGTGTAATAGTTTTTATGCAAGCAATATGAACATGTGAAGCAATGTTTATCAGGTTTGAACTATATTATAAACTATGTGTTCTGAATTAGTGGGTGATAGGAGACATTGACGGCCACTATATCACTAAGAGTCCTATAATTTTGTATAATTTTGCATATAAATGCATTTTTAACTATAATCCAGGTTTTTAACTAAACGTTTGCTAGAAATGCTTACAAAAATTAAGATGACTGGGGAGCTTCTGAGAATGTGAACATCATAGAAAACGCGTATCTTGCATGATGACTTTGACACCGATATCAAAATTGTTCAAGATACGTAGTATTAGGAAATTCTGCAAGAAATACAATGAATTGTATCTAAACTGGTTCAATATACTAATCAAATTCACATAGCAGACTATTTTTGTATACATATATATTCTCATGAACATTAAATGAAATGCAGCATGAAATCGTCTGAAATGAAAGATCCCGAAGGGATTCTAAAAAAAACTTTCATGATAGATTTTTAGATGTCCAGACTAACATGTTTATGCAAATTGAAATGATTGTTATAGGAAAACAGAAAAAAAGAAAATGATAGCTTGTCATGAAGCCACGTAACAGACGAGACAATTCAGACTCACGATTTCTATTTTAAAACCAAAATGCCAGTCATACATTTATTAGGCAGACAGGAAATGTTAAGATGAAATCCGGATATACTAATTCAAAATGACGATAATCTAAAACAAATTCTAAAATGGCCGTTTTGATTATTATTAGGTTATCATGTTGTTATTGAAATATCATAAGTAAAACTATTTGAAGACAATGTCAATACGCTGTTATGATATCTTGGGCATTCTTAAGTTGAAGGCAATTTTATTGTCACCTTTTCAACAGGCACATTGAAGTTTCAAGATTTTCAAAGTTCAAAATTTTATTAAAGCACCAAGTAACATTATGTATATTGCCATAAACAATAATGTTATGTATACATACTTATAAACATATAAACAAATGCATCAAACATTTAAATACAAGAAAAGTAATTTTAGTAATAATCGGATACTTATTGCATTTGCAAATAGAATAAGGACGTCATGAATTTAACCGCTTATTCGAGCAATAATTTTAATGAACATAACCATGTCTATTAAAATTGTATTATAATTTTCTGTTCGTATATTTTCTTATCAAATTTTAAAAATGAATGCAAGTCTCAACTAAATAAAACATGCTAATTCTAAATACCATGTTCGTATCTATAGGTTAATACAACCAGAGTGATTCAATTAAATCAAGACTGGAATATCATCTAACTTTAAAGTTGTATGGACCATCTCATTTCTGAGTAAATAAAAAATGATTGTTTTGCAATATCTTTGAAAACAAACATCTGATTGTTTAATCAGCAAAATTGCTAAATAACCTTTGTGACAAATAAAATTATGAGGTTTATTCTAAACACATTATTTTTAAAGCAACGTTCCCTTTTAGTTATTTACAATTAATTTCTATCAACTCCCGGTTATACTTTGTTCAGAAAACATATTAACTTTTTAGCAAGATTATGTTTTGTATGATACATGTATTTGAATTCTTTAAAATTTATTTTCATCCCAAATGTCTTAGACTCATGTGGCAAAACAAAGATATATACATGTATTCAAATTTAGCGACAATTCAAAGTAACATGCTTGTAACAAACACAAGTATCAAATGTACACATACATTTTTGTTTAGAAATATCCTCAATATCATTTACAAACATTGAAAAATAGGGAACAGACATTCGCCCTGTCTGACCCCTAAAACACGTTTAAATTTATTGTTTAGCTCAGTACAATGCTTAATCTCTAACTTTACTGTTTATTGTATACATAAATCAAATGTTTAAACTATTTCTCCAATAACCTAGTTGAATTAATTTTGCCCATGAATTTTATTTTGTATGACTTACTTATCAAACGTTCCTGTTTTCCTAACTTAGAACAAGACATATTATTTAGAGAAAGCTTAATGAAACAATATTATGCGTGTTTTATAACTGGCTAAATTTCATTTCCTAATTATTTCTGGTAAATTCAAAAAGTTTACCATGCAATATTTGTAAAAACATTTATAATCAAAAGTTGTTTTAGGTATATGGACTTTAAAACAAATATTTTTGAAGGTTGTAACATTTAAAAACTTTATAAGATAATAAAATCTGTACCGAAAGAGTTGTTATTTTTATTAATTTTAATAAATTCTATATATGTTTGCTCAAACGTCAATTATTACTGTATCTTTAAACATTATCAAATCCATTGTCATTAAACTGTATTAGAACAAGGCATATAATAAAACCTTATGACCATTGGAAACGATGTTTGTTTGTTCTAAGATTCATCAAAAGGATAATTAGTTACATAAAAAGGTGCATCTACTCTGCATTTACAGCAATTTCGATTTACAATTTTTTGTTGGCTATATGGAGAAATGGTGTAATATAATTGAAGCAAACTTATAGATGCACATTTTCATAATCCCCCATGTACAAACATTCAAACACGTGTCTGCAATTTTCATGTAATTTTGTTGTGATTAAAGCTTCCGAAGGACCACACTTTACCCAGATATTAAAGAAAATGGCGCTTATCATACACATATCAGCAGCTTAGTATTTACAGACATAAAGTCTTTTTTTATGTCATGCACAAAAAATGAGTGGCGGCGTGGCCGAGTGGTTAACGCGTCGGAATAGTAATCTAAGGATTGCTGACCGCATGGGTTCAAACACTGTCATTGACAAGCCGTTGTTTCCTTAAGCAAGAAACTTTACGTTCATTGCTTAGTATTGGTTGGTTTCAGGAACGGATTCGAAAGTGTTTCAATAAGCTTATAGCTTCCAACACAATTGAACAAAAATTAATTTGTATATACTAAATGAGCCCGGAATACTTTGCTTTTATAAATATAATTTGTATACACCGAGGGCGTCAATGACATCAAACCTGATTCCATTGAAACTAATGTAAGTTATCCTGAACGTCACGGGACGTCGAATATATAGCCGTTTTAACAGATGTCATGTACTCGGAAACTTGGACTAGTAAGTTTAGTTATGACACCCTTAAAAATGTTCATTACTAAGATTTGCATGCGTAGAAAATTGAACTGTTGGAGGAGCCGAATATTTACATATATACATTTTAAGGTAAGAAACGTGTGTCAAACTAATGAAATTGGTGTTTACGTGCACTTTAAAATATATTTGAATTTGACCCATCTTATTAACAGCGTCTCTGGTTTTAGTTTATCTCTTGATTGTATGTTGGTTCATTCAGTAATAGCAATTACAGGGTATAAATGCATGTTCAAAATGTGTAGTTTGGTTGAAAATATGTTCTAAAAAATATAACGATAAACTTATAAAAATGCATTGTATGTAAACACAAGAAACAACAAAAACAAACAAACAAATAAACAACAAAAGCATATAATTCATTTTTCAAATTTTTCTAGGTCTTCTAATATCAATATAAGTATATATCATTCGAAATACTATAGAGAAAATAGGAATCCCTAAAGAAAGTCCAAAACGGAAAAAAAATGTTGCAGGCTCGGTTAATTCAGCCTGTTCATGGAGAAACTACAGCCAACGACCTAAGCAGAATTTAACATTTAAACATAAAATGGTGAAAATTGGAATTTAGAAACATCAGCAGATGTGTTCATACGTTGGTTATCATGGTATTTTCAATGTGACACTTTCATGCCATTCCATGAAAAGCGGCGTATGGTCCCCATGTTAAAGAAAGTCATCAATGGACACCACACACAACACAACACCACACATAACACCACACACTTATATCGATCTTAAAATTAAAATTACTACATCTCTCTCGGTCACAAGCAATTTGCAAGGCAAATTAGTTTTAGAATTCACGGAGCTTGTCTTACTGCGATAAGGTGCATCGTGATATTAACAAAATAAGAAATACGATTATACTGAAACATAGAAGAGAAACGAAAATTCATCACTAAATGAAGAATGCCGTCCTGATTCCAAGGTACTAGTTATAGCATAGATACATTTTTCCAATCTTACTTCGCAGAACGCTTCTCAAGAAAAAAATTAACCTGTTGAAACTGCAATCAAATCTATAATGCAAATACCAAAATAATACAAGAAGGTCTTATCTAAATTTTCAACAATACCCTCCTTTTATTATATAGAAAAATGTCCAATTACTTTTGTTACTTTCAATCTTTATTAACTAATCGCAATTGATGCCTAGAAAGCAAGACCACAAGACCGGAAGTAACTTAAGGATAGTTGCTGTAATTGCCAATTTTGTTGATCGGCGGCCATCATTAATTTCGAATAAAATGAAAACGATATCCGGTATTCTTGAATGTTAACATTTGTATGACAAAGTGCTTAATATTCATTCAGAAATTACAGTGATTTTTTTAAAAAAATATGACAGTGCTGAAAACAGATTGCCACCAGACTAATTAGTTACATAAAAGTAATGCTATTTTTTAATTTATTTATTGTTGTTGATGTTTTAAATATGATTGAAAAACCTTCCTCCGGGAAAGTATGATAATCGATTTGATAATGAAATATTGTTGCACAACCATAACAAATATAGAATGTTACATTTGAATTAAATTTAATTCATAGTTCTTGTGTAAATAATTAGCCAAATGGCTTGGTACGAGACTTTTTAAATATATAGTGAGTATAGTATAGTAAATAAATGACCCGAATAGCTTAAAAACATTTACTACTCTGATCTGAAACGCAAATCTGATCTGAAACGCAAATACTTCCACGATAATCTTAGCTGTTTGGATATATTACTCATGTTACTTTATTTGAAGGAATATAAAGCTATCTCTTATAAAATATATTTCAATAAAATCTAATTATCTAATAAAATCAAAGTTGTTTTCAAACTTATGTGCGATTTTCGAAAAGTATGCTTGCAAAAATGAAAGTCTCTGCTATTTTACATAC